AAATTTAAAAAGTCAATTGTCACACCTTATCGCAATGTCAATTACTTGATATAATATTTAAGGATCATATAAGTTGAGCATCAATTTTTTTTACCTCATATTGTAATCTATAGAGAAATTAGCTTAAAAGTGCAATATCATCCCACTTGATATCAGTTGTAAGTTATTAAAATTATAAAATATATAATGTTACTAATCAATTGCTTTGTTGCAAGATACAAATCTTATTGGTTGCAACATAAATTGCATCATGTTTTTTATACATGGATCAAAACTCTGAAAAAAAAAGCCTCCAAATTATCTAATATTAGATCTCATCTTTCAAAAAAAGATCAAAATCATAATAATATTGAACTTAAAAGGAGTATACTAATGAATCTAATTTGCAATCTTGGAGTTAGATAGCTATGGGATTGAAATTGTACTTGATTGATAAATCTTCAAAACTTGGATCTTGTACCATCAAACTTCTTGGGTGCAACCTTTGATTCTGTGACATTGAAAGGATATTCTACCATAGGAGAAGAGACATGATTTGGTGCAGATATTGAAATAGTTCCAATCATCTCAATATCTTTGCTCTTTCCTATTCTTATTGCTTTTTGTGGTAGTAAATTGAGTTGATGCATTGCAAGCATTAACTCTCTCAATTGCTTTAGCATTTAAGCCATTGCACTCTTCATTTTAAGAACCTTTGCCATGATAAATTTTTTAAAAAATAAGATGTTTGATATCACTCAAGACAAATAAAAGAAAAGACTTCAAAATAAAAAAAGAAAAAAAATACTAATGATCATATCAGTTTTGAAGAAAGTAATTGACAACTCCTAATATGCTTAAGTCTTATTTAAAAAAAATTTAAAAAAAATAAAAAAAATAAAAAAAAAAATCCATTCTTAATCAAGAAAAGACAAAGCTCTAATATTATAAGTGTACTCTTGCCAATTTATTAGACACAAGAACTTGATGAAAGCAAATAAATAAGTGAGACTCTCTCAAAGAAATAGAAATAGAGAAGTATGTATATTAAAAAGAATACTAGAATGGCTATTGCCAAGAGACAAAAAAACTAGAGAGACTCTTGAAACTAGACTAGAAACAAGAAAGAAGTTAACAAGAGTAAAGAAGGCTTCACTCTTACCTCTATATATACTATCTATGTATGATCTATGTAGTGACATTTTATAGGATCTCCAAAAATGTGTTGACTTTGTATGATACATATCTTAATTTAGAAGGCAAGTTTTCTATATGGGTGCCACATAGTTAGCTTATTTTGCAAGCTACCAATATATGTGGCATGTGGTTAACTTGTTGACCAAGTTTTTAATCTACCAATCAACTACAAATACATGTAGAGTCAAAACAACATTTAAGAAGCTTCTCTAGAAGATATTATGAAATTAATCTATTTTTATCTACTTTTATCTATTCATATTATCTAGATAATAATTATAATAGATATATATCCATAACACCTAAATAAAAGGAGATGACAAGCTCCACCTAATAGCTTTTTATTCCAAGATATTTTTAACATCCAAAATCAACTACAAGATCTATGTCAAAGAACTTTTTATAATTATGGGTTTATTCCAAGAATAGTGTTATTATTTAGAAGATACTTTTAATCTATTTGTTGTGTATATGAATTATAAGAATCTCAAGAATTCATGTTAGTATGTGTTGTGAATCATCACAAAGTCAATTAGAATATATCTTTATTAAGATTTGATTTCAAATTGACTTATTGATTCAAAAAATAACAAGGTTTATTAAAGGCCCTATTTAAATGTTCTTACCTAGTACTAAAAGAAAGAAATACAACTTTTAATCAATAAAAAATATTTTTCATAAATTTGGAGTATTTTCATCTTCAAGCAATGAAATCAACATTGATTATTAATTTAATATTTTTTAAGCAAGTTCAATCAAATATGTTCTTTAATTCTATTGTTCATAATATTAAAAATAATTCTTCTAAATTTTATGATATTTCTAATTTCAATTTTAAGAATAATCCACTCTATTTTAAAAAATAATTATATATTTAAGAAGGAAAAGCACAAATACATGTTCTTCAAACTTGTCATAACTTTCTAACGGTTGGATATTTTGATTATAACAAGGCTTTGGATCTAATATCTAGAGATTTTTCATTGCATCAAATATAAAAGATAATCAAGGACTTTATATAATCATTTGTTTAAGATCAAAAATTCCTTATCATAAACATTATAGACTTCTTTAGCTATTACTTATTCTAGAACAACCATGGTTTTTTATTTCTATAGATTTTATTATAGATCTTCAAGTCTTAGATTCTTATGATTCTATATTTGTAATAATAGATTATTTTATCAATATGGCATATTTTGTGCTATATAAAAAAACTATTTTAGGTGAAAGAATTATTAAATTTTTCCTTGATAACATCTATCGCTATCTTGGATTGCTCAAAGCTATTATATTGGATATGGAGACGATTTCTAATAAGTTTTTAGATAAAAAAAAATTTAAGATTCTAAAGATGGATATAAAATTAATTTTGGCTTTTTATCTTTAAACTAATGGACAAATAGAGTGAGTAAACCAAGTTTTGGAATAATATTTGAAGTATACCATCAACTACCAATGAGATGATTGGAGGCATAATTAGAAGTTTATAGATAATAAGAAACCAATATAGATGCCTATTGCAAACAGCAATCTCAATTATTCATTAGTTCCAAAGTATCGTTACTTTTTCATAATATCAAAATTAATCATCCTTATAATAAGTTAGATTACCATAGGCTTGGACCATATGTTATATGTAAACAAATCAATTCAGTTGCTTATCAATTACATCTATTGGAGTCTATGAAGATCCATAATGTATTCCATATATCTCTTCTTGAATCATATAAAATAATGAATATTTCAAAAAGAAGACAAATGCCACTTCTTCATATAAAACTAGATAATAATTAAGAATTTGAGGTAGAAGAAGTCTTAGACTCAATGTAGCACCAAAATAGATTGAAATAAATTATTTATTAATATGGATATGATATTAATAAATATATATGGGAGCCAACAAAGAATGTTACAAATGCAACAAAGAAATTTGATGTTTTTATTGCCGACATCAATAAAAACTAAGATATAAAATAACAAATCTTAGCTATAAAAAAAATAAGTTTTAAAAAAATATATTATATCTTTTATCTTTATTTGTAATTTTTTTATATTTATGGTACTAAATAGATATAAAATCAACAACTAACAAATTCAACTCAAGACCTATTATTTGCTTATTTATCTAAAGAAACATTATAATTGTCACAACCTTCAAGATGACGTAATAGAAATGAAGATACCTCTAATAAATATTAGAAGTATGAATGACTCTTCAGAGTATTCTAAATATTTTATTTTAAGGAAGTTACAAGGGTCTCAACAATAATCAAATAACAAATTGATCTTCTTGCCTTGGTATTAGACACTATTGATGGCTAAGAAAACCTATCAACTACCTTTAAAGAGAACAAAGTTCAAAATATGTAGTAAACAAAATTTGCTGCATCTTTGATTTCTTCAACATATGATGATTGTTCTTTATGGAACTTATTCCTAGAAAGAACATAATGTCATTAGCATATATATCTACTTAAATAAGAAGTATTAGATGGAAAATAAATATAGGTAAATTTAATATAATCTTATGACAAAGCTTTATAGACGCATATTTGATCTTATACATGTTTATAGTTAATTGGTAGGTTAGAAACTTGGCCAACAAATTAGCCATATGTTGCATATGTAGATAGCTTATGATACAAGCTAACAATGTGGTGTATATATAAAAAAACTTGCCTTATAAATTAAGATACGTATTTTGCAAATTCAAAACATGTTGGAGGTCCTATAAAACATCACCACAAGCTCTTAGTTAGATATTATATATGGAAACAAGAAAGAAATTTTTTTTACTCTTGTCAATGCTTTTCTAATCTTTAGTCTTGTTTCAAGACTTTCTAGTCTTTTTATCTTTGGAAATAGCCATTCTATATTAATATTATACTATCTTTGAATGATTTTTTAATCTTTTTGAGTGACACAAGAATTTATTGATCATTTAATTTTTTGAAATTCATGTTTTTGATATCTTTCAACCATGTCATCATTGTTGTTTTTATCTATTAGTTTACATGACCATATATTTTTTTTCTAATAATGGTAAATCCAAACAAAGTCCAACAAGCTAAAATAGGTCTCTTTATGTTGTATTGCATTTCTATTTGCTTTATTTTTGTTGGCTCAACATGATTTATCATTGCTCCTTCTTTTTACATAGTCTAATAAGCCAAAGGTCATTAATAAGAGTTAATAATTACCATGTTCAACATTGCTGATTGTAGGTACATAAATTGCAGGCCCTTTTTGCCACATTTGGAATACCTATTTTGGTTTTTGGATTGATTTCATCACAATTGCAAAGACAAATTTTCCTTGGTTATCTTAATTATTTTCTTTTGAGGCACAGGTAACATGATACCATTGACTAGCATCGTTTCCACATTGATAGGAATAACCTTACCAATGTAGAACTTTTGCAACTTAGTTGTGGTGGACAATACATGTACGAAGTATAAATAAATAAATAAATAAATAAATTATTACATTCTAGCATTTTAATGAATGAAAAATTAGTAAAAATCAAGGAGAATTAACACAAATAGACTCTATTTGTGCAAATAGAGTCTTATTACATAAATAAATATGTACATTTTTTTATAAAAAATTCTAAATTCCCAAGTTTCACTCATCAATAATATATGCGGAACCCAGCCAATGAGTAACCGTGACAACGGAGAAAAAGTAAAAGCTAGAAAACGCAGAGGGGGCGACTTAAAAGGTGAAAGGCGAAAGGGGGGATGTGGTGGGCGGCAGCGTCGCCGCAGCCATCCACACCGCGCTGGCGTTGCCGTGAGAGCTGACGATGATGGTCACAGATAGTCTTCCCTCGTCTCGTCTCTCTAGCTGCCGGAATCCTGTCCGTGTGGCTGCAATTCCTCGGCATTGGCCCACTCCATCCACCTCCCCCGCTCACTCTCTCTCTCTCAAATTCCACTTCGGTTTGCCTCCCTCTTGCTTCCTTTTATCTCTTCATCGCTTCCCCACGCTTTGATCCCGCTGCATTTCGCTGCATTGCGCCGCATTTCGATCTCGCAATCCCGAGCTGTGGGATCGGAGTCCGGAGTCTCTGGCGATGGCGCTGGCTCAGAGTGTCGCAAGCCTCACTCTCGGCTCGACGGCTCAATTGCAAGGGCCTTCTTCTGCCACGCCTGGCTCGGTGCGACCATCTCTGTCGCTACGCTCGAACGCGGCTGCGTTCTCGTCCCAGTCTCACTTCGCGGGGTCGTTCGGGTTGTCATGGAGCGCGCAATCCAATGGCGTGAGCACGAGTAAGAGCAACCGTGGGGCAGCTCTGGTCGTGCGTGCAGCAGCGGGGGAGTCGAAGAAGGTTTTGATCGTGAATACCAACAGCGGTGGCCACGCCGTGATTGGGTTCTGGACCGCCAAGGACTTAGTTGACGCTGGTCACAGCGTCACGATTCTGACCGTGGGTGAAGAATTATCTGACAAGATGAAGAAGCAGCCCTTCTCTCGGTTCAATGTAATCTCTTTTTTCTTGATGTTTTACTCTCAATTCTTGGTATGTGGTTTCTGGTTGCGTTAAGTTCGCATTGGTCGCTAGATTCCTGTAGTTGAATTCATTCCTGCGGCCCTGAAAGGAGAGTGTTAAAATGTCTGGTGCGGGTCTGTTTCTTATGGCAGGAGCTTCGTGAAATTGGAGTCGAGACCGTGTGGGGTGAGCCTTCCGACTTGGGAGCCGCTGTTGGGTCTGCCTCATTTGATGTTGTCTTGGACAACAATGGAAAGACTTTGGACGTTGTTCAGTACGTCGCTCAAAACATGCCCCGTTCAGTTTATGTTTGATGAACCTTGAGTTACTCATTACTTCCCATTAATGGACGAAGCCAGACTCTCTACTCTGTGAGATTCTGTGTTACAAGCTTCATGTTATCAGTTCTATTTGTCATTCTGAGTGCAACGATTAGTTTTTGGACTGGCTGGGTTGCTTTTAATGTTCCTAAGTTCATTTTAGTTGATACGTGTCTGAATTCTCAGGCCTGTTGCTGACTGGGCCAAGGCCAATGGAGCTAAGCAATTCTTGTTCATCAGCAGTGCGGGTATCTATAAGAGCACTTTTGAGCAGCCTCACGTTGAAGGGGTAGGTCAATTGATTTTCACCAGTCGAGCGTAATATTGATGCGGATCCAAATCTATTCCATACGGCATTCTTTAATTTTTGGTGGAGCCCCTATTGGTGTACTGAAAGATTCTTAAGCCACTTAGCAACGCAGATTGGGCTAATTCTTAGTGTGGATCAGTTGATCTGATTATTTGCTAGATTCTTTTCCATCAAATCTCCATTCTGCACCTGAGTATTTTGATGCGTTCAACAGGATGCTGTGAAGGAGGATGCTGGTCACAAGCAAGTAGAGAACTATCTGGCGGAATTGGGCTTAGAGTCCTGGGCCTCATTCCGACCTCAGTACATGACCGGAGACGGGAACAACAAGGATTGCGAAGAATGGTTCTTCGACAGTGAGTATTTTAAACCTTCGTCTTTCATGTTCACCAAGTTCAATCTCTGGAAAGCTACTTCGATAAGTGTGGTCAGTGGTAGCTCATGTTGAGTCGAAATTTTACAGGGATTGCTAGGGGAAGGCCAGTTCCCATCCCTTCTCCAGGAATTCAGGTGACGAACATCTCTCACGTACGTGACTTGTCGAGCATGCTAACACTCGCCGTGGGGAAGCCCGAAGCTGCGAATGGCTCCATTTTCAATTGCGTCTCTGACCGGGGCACCACCTTCGATGGCCTGGTTAAGATGTGCGCGAAAGCAGCCGGAAAGGAAGCCAAAATCGTTCATTACGATCCCAAGGCTATTGGTGTAGATGCCAAGAAGGCTTTCCCATTCCGTAACATGGTATGTTACCCTGGTCTACCTTACATCCTAGTTATCATTTTGGGACGATGCCCCTCCTTTTGCATTGTATGTGTGGTTCCCTCTAAGAGGAAATTCTGTCATTGCTATTGCAATTTCACAATGAAACAGAGCTCAGAATGTCTTCTAGACTTATTAAGCACGTGATAAGACGAAAACTTCTTGTGCAAACCAATCCCAGATGAGTTCCCGTCCCACATAAATGATGATTGAAGTGTGGACATTTTGTGTGTGTGTTTGTGCGTGCGTGTCTGTGCAGCACTTCTACGCCGAACCACGAGCAGCTAAGACGAAACTGGGGTGGGAGAGCAAGACAAACTTAGCTGAGGATCTGAAAGCCCGATGGGAGGATTACGTTAAGATCGGTAGGGACAAGAAAGACATCAAATTTGAACTCGACGACAAAATTCTGGAAGTTGTTTCAGAGCCTGTTACAGCAGCTTAGTGATAGGGCCCCTTTGTACCCATAAATCACAAGCCTGGCTATTTGCAGGTGCTATTCTCTGTTCGATGCATTAATCTCCAAATAAATCAACGAAACTGTCGTATCGTAGGTTAGTACCAAAACCACATCTCTTCAATTCTCTAACCTGCTTCGAATACCATTCCTTTCTAACTCATCGTCTTGGTGTTTCTGACGATGTCAGAATGAGGTGAAATTACTCACATTTCCATGGTATGATGAAAACTCTCCTAAAGTCCAACCTAATTCCATTGAACTCATTAGACTTGTCAAAAGTTTCATTTTTATATACTTTTATGCTGTAAAAGAATTATGTAATATTTATATCTTCAATGTTTTATAAAATTTTCTATAGAAATAGTTTTAATTTTTTAAAACATCGAACATATTATATATATATGGTACATAAATATTATTACATCTTAATTTTAAAAATCAAACACTTTATTATTTTTTCACAAGTACCTGCTTAAAAGAAGAAAAAAAGACTTTTCCATAATTATTAAATTGTATAGATATATATATATATATATATATATATAAGTAGGAATGTCCTCAATTTGTCTGTTCCTATGATGACATCAAACATCTTCAGCAAAAAAAAGTTTAGTAATATTATCGAATATCTTATGAGAATAATTTACTAATTCAAATTTTATCACTTTATATCTTCTTCTTTTTTTGGTTGTGTGACCAAATCATGCAAGTTGTTTTTGAAACTTCAAATGATTATAGCTTACATATTACTTGACTAAATAGTTTATAAATTTACTTCTAAAAATAATTGAATTATAAAATTGTGTATTTTACAAAATTATATTTAAGCCTCAAAAGACTGAACAAAGATACTATTTGTGGCACTTGTCTAGCACTTAGTGTAAAAGCTAGAATCTATTAAGCACATCACCACTTCTTATTTTACAATATAGCATAAAAACAACAGCATATGCAAATATATCTAAAAGATTATAAATATATTAATATTAGATATAAATCATTTCAAATAAACAAAAGTACACGTAAAAAACTCTTATTAGGATAAGACCTTGTGTAATTTTTAAATTTCAAGTCTCTTCTATTTTAGAGTCTTGCAAGACTTATACCAAATTTACATGTGAATGTTTTTCTGCATGATTCTGCCATCTTGAAATAAAAGACTTTGTTGCTTTAGTGTTATTTTTAGATTTGAGGTGATAGTTGTTAAACATCTTTGCAAAAATATGTAGCACATTGGCAATATTAACCAATTAAAAAGACCCACTTTAATTTCAAATAAATTTAAATTATATATATAAATATAAATATTTTTTTTCTTTGGCTTGATAATGACAATCATGTATATACATATACATACATTCTAAAATTAAAAAATAAATATTAATCCTTACATCTATTTTAAAATATATACAAACTTAAAGAATATCATGTTAAGTTTAAAATCATGTATAAAAAGTCTCTTTAAAAAAAAATAGTAATGAATTATAAAATATCTAGAAAAAAAAATTAATAGAAGAAAAAAATAATTCTCTATAAGTAACATTAATCAAAATAATTTTCTTAATAATAAGAGATTTATTTTTTTTAAATATATATATATATATATATATATATATATATATATAAAACATGAGAGATATTTATTGTATAAAATCATTCAATACTATTTTTAAAATAAAAGTGTAAAAAAGTAAAGTCTATTTATTACTTTTGATTTAACATAAGAATTTTTTTTTTTAACTTATTTTTTAACACTTTTTAAATTTCTTGTGATTTAATATTATTATCAATATTTCTAAATTTATATAGACTTAGTAAGCATTTAATTGACTTTTGAACAAGAAATCATTAGTGTAATAGTAATCTATTAAAAAATCAAACTAAAATAAATAAATAAATTGAGATTTTCATTATTTTAATCATAGATTTTGATAATTGTGGTAATGATTGACTATAAAATAACTCTTAATAGAGAAATTCTTTACTTAACCATATTAGAAGGTATTAGTTGCAAAGAGAATTTTTGCTAATTTGTGTAAACTATTCTTAGTATTAAGAACCAACATATATTCTTAATAAGAGTGGATTAACTTTTGAATCATTTAAAAGATTTATATACTTTATTTGTGATTTTTGAATCTTGCAAAATTTATTTAATACAAAAATTAGCATAGTTTGTAATACTTCTTTAAATGCAAAAATTTTACTTGTTGTTGCTTATATATATATATATATATATAGAGAGAGAGAGAGAGAGAGAGAGAGAGAGAGCAATTATTATTAGAAAAAACATAAACATAATCACCATAATTTTATATTAGTGTTACAATAAAAACAGCAAATTTCTACTAATTTTGTCTAGTAGTTTTTCCAATCTTTTTCAACTCTTTTTTCTTTTCTTTTTTTTTAATCTCTTTTTAAATTATTGATAAACTATCAACTTTTTGTCATTAATTTTTTTTTTGTATATCTTTTCTTTGTTTCTATTTTATATTAAAAATTTGGTATATAATCACATACTAAAATATATTGGTTTTATATGCCTTTGGTGTTATAGTAAATTTTGTACAAAAAAATTAACATAAACATATTCTAATTACAATCAGTCTACCTCATTAAATATATATATTTACACTGATATTTCTATTATTTGAATTAATTAAATAATGATCACAAGTAAAACAAAACTATATTTTCAAAGGTACAATGCAAGATCTCTGTTTGACAAAAATGTACATTTTGCCACTTTACAGTGATAATTTAACTTGGTTACCAAAAATTTCAATCATGCCAAAAAAAATAACAATCATAACTAAACACAACACTGAGGACCAAAATAAATAAACAAACCAAAACTTAAGTGACAATACTTTCAAGAACATAACAAACATATAGAAATCATTCGTTAGAATCAAACCAGGTTGGAATCAGACTCAGCAGTTCCGTTTCACAAATATATATGTTTCGAATCATGTGTCAACAGCTACACATCCAAACCATCCTGTTGAAAATAGTGGAATTACTTCAACTAATCCAAAGTAGTAGCAACAACAGCATTGCACACCCACCCTGCAAAAACACACAAAACCTGTGCTAGAAACCCAGTTTGCCATTCTCTGATCTCGTAGTCCACGACAACACACACACACACAACTTTGTTGTTGTTGTTGCCGCCTCAGCTTTGCTTGTTGACAAACCCACCTTCAGGAAATGTGTTGAAACCAGTCGTGGTTTCAGAGGAATGCTTGTGTGTTTCCTCCTCTCTGTGCACATCTTCTCACAGACCCAGCTGCTAAACGATGTGAGGAATCAGGCTGAAGTTAATCTAGTGCGAGACCCGGTTTTCTTTTCAGAAGCAAGCCTGCTCCCTAGTGTTTTCCATCGCTGATGGCTCACATTCGGATAATTGATGAGCCAGTTGCGAAGGGCGAGATCTTCTCATGTGGGTCAGAACGCCCAGTGAATGAATGAATGGTCACGTTGCTTCATTCCGCTGAAGTTGACATGCTTGTTGCGGTCGATCTGATAGGTGGAGCGAGTCCTGGCATTATTGCGCAGGTTCAGGTTTCCACTTCATACTTCCAGAAATGTACATGTGTATAAATAGACCATTTCTGGTAGAGTGAGTGTTACGTGCACCAATACGGTGACCCTCTTGCGTAACAGCAACTGACGGCAACCTTTGCAGCGAAAGTGTGTTCATAATTGCTAACCTTTGAAGCAATTCTAACTGGGGTTAGAGAAGCAGCCGATCTCAAAGATGTGAACCTCGCTCCAAGAAACATGATATGTGCTGTAGCACCAAGCAATGTAGTTTTTCTTTTCCAAAGGGGAGTCTGGTGCGAAAATCAGGAGTTGCACTGTACGTAAACTCATGGCCAGCTGTGTCGTGGCGTACTCGATGCTGTAGAGGAAGAGAAAGGACGGCAACGCATGTAGACTGCTTCAGCGTACTCGGAGGACCAGTGCCTTTACGTTTGATCATCCTATTTACGTCTGGTCATGGCACTGTTAATTCTCTCCACTTATATCTGGACAAAAGTTTTGTCAGGCTTACATAAATGGGGAAGGTTCATGTCGCGTCAAACACTGAGCAGGTACAAGCTGGAAACACCAAGATTCTTCAATCGGAACCTCAGTGGCCTACACCACTAGATAGAAGACCCAATAGTGGACAGACAAATCGACATTTTTGCAGCAACCATATGGAGTACACGCAACTAGGGTTCTGAGTTCGGAAGTTGTGTAAAGTGCCACTCATGAACTTGGTGCTACAAAGTAGCTCACATCAGGAGCACCGCAGGTGTTAGTGTTGTTAACTCCTCACATCTTAGACGCACTCGTCGCGATGCCCACACCCCAAATGCTGAAGCACCAAACCGACGCCACATCGATTAGAGGGAATCAACACAACGCTTAAAAGCTGAGCACATCGCCTCCCACAAAGTTCATGGACACTTTCTTACCCAGCTATTACCCAACCTAAACCTATTTTCCATCACTGTCACTCCTCACAATCGCTTCAAGGTTTGTTGTCAACATTCGACAACGCACAGCCGTCAACCATCAGCAGCGATTAACTTTCGCTTGATTGAACGATGCCTCACTTCTCGGACCACTTTTGCGTAGCAATTGTGGGGTGACGTGGCCGTCGCGGAGAATATTTATCTGGTCTTTGTTAACTCAAATTATCTAGCAAAATTTTCTGTTAACTCCATTCTTTTCAACGCACTGGCCACGCAGGGTCTGACGATGCTTAAAAGGTTTGAATCTGTTTCCGTGAACAGGAGCCTTGTTCAGTGCAATATGACCTACATCACATCACATTACATTTAGAGAAAAGGGTCTCACATATCCATGCCACTTTCACAATGAAAAAGCGTTTCGCCTATTCTTCCGTCAAGGTACTTATCTATCTGTGAGTGGTTATCTTCAACCGGCAATTGAAGGCCTGCCGTCCGTTGTGAACGGCAAATCCCATATTCCAACATTACCAAAAGAACGTGTAAATGTCAGAATACTTGAAATGTTCAACGAATATTGACCTCGGTTTTGAACACCTGTGCGAAAAAATTCCCATCCTAGAGATTCTAACTATGAGGATTCAAAATGTCGTGATAATGGAAGACCAGCCCAATACGGATCTGCTCACAACTGCACCCACAATCAAATGTCTCCACACCTCACGCAATCGCTGCACCCTAAACTTAATCCACAGCTGCAGAAAATTTCCGCTTCTTTGATAAGCTCAGATATTGCTTGAATCTCATACGGCGAGTTGTGCGGGCACTTTTCTAATCGATTGGGCAAATGCGGCAAAGGCAACACGAATCAGATTCCAGGTATGCCATTGCGGTGAGACGAAGACGACGCACCAAAGTCACGGCGATTAGTCTTGTGGGTCCGCCATGATCAGTCCTGTGGGTCTGCAGGGGACCAAAAACCGTGTGGATGATAACGGGCGCTTTACATAACCTTCCACAGACATGTGCGTCAACCATATAAGTGGATGATATGTACATAAATCATCCACTGATGAACTGTGTCCAGTATTTCATCCGACAGTTTCACACTGGAAGGTTTCGGATTTCGAAACATGGACACCACAATCTGGGATAAGGAGAGTTTCCACGCAATTCTCCCAATATTCCATCCGAAATTTGACCTTTCTTAGCAACTCCCCCGTGAAGGATTCCGCATGGAATTGTTCCTCCCACCCCCTTTACGACCATTCCAATGATTTTTCCTTTTGTTGTTTGTATTCTTCTATTTGTTTTTTATTCCAAAACGGCATCTATTAGAGAAGGAAAGTAGAAATTTTCAAGGGAGACACACAACAAGGAAATAAGTACATTACATAAATAATTCTCTTTGCCAACTAAAATTATAATTATAATTTGGTTCCTAGTTGTCTAGAATATTCAATTTAGTTTACAAATGACATTCCCAAAACAATAGGATAATTAGTGTTTACTTGAGTTTGCAAAGAGTGTTTCTAAAGTAGGGAACTAGTAGCATTGGGTCTCATATATTTTAAATATTTGAATTTGGATTTTTTCCTTTATTTTCTATTTCTTTCTTATGCATCAGTTTATTAAAATAGTACAAATAATTGAGTAATTTACCATTAAGCCTTTGCATCCATCTTTAATAAGTCTTCAATTTATTTTTGGATAGGATTTAGAAAAAATAGTTACATAAGCAATTACTATTTTGTTGTCATCATTGATTGAATCTTCACTTCTTTTGTTTACAAAGATAACAAAATAAAATAATTCATGACTTTTTTATAATCTATTTTAGAAAACTATTTTACAATAATTTTTGAAAAAGTATATAGGGAGAGAAATTATAGTTTTAAATTAAATAATTTACAACTAATCTTCTATCTACCTATATTATTAAACTCAATTATAATGCAAAAATTGAAATTAATATTAAAATCACGAAAGTAAAGACTAGTAGTCAAAAAGTGATTTATTATGATTGAGTTTTATATGGAAAAAATATACTTCAGTTCTAATAATAAACCTTACTATTAGTTAAGTAATAATAAAGACTATTGACTTATGAAATTAATTCAGATCTTTCATTATTATTGTTGTAATTAAAGCATCATGAAGCACATAAAAATGTATTTCTTAAGTGATTTTTGTGGTGAGTCAAATCTATATTTATAAAAATTACCTAATTTATTGAATAATCAATATATGAGATTTTTAAAAAATATATATAAAAATTAGAAATGACCATGAATTTAAACACAATTACTGTTGGTGGCACTACTTATTTTATTGATGATTTTAGTGGATATCTTTTAAAAGTTGACACATAAATGTTTTAAAATAAAATTTTATTATCCGAAATTGTTAATATATATATATATATATATATTATGTACTCAAAATTTTACTAAATATAATAACTTTTCACAAATTTTCTCAACTATTTTGAAAGATTGCAAAAAAAAAATCAATTACAAGATTAGAAAGTAATATAAAACCGCTTATATATTTTAAATTCTGTATATATTTGAACTTTTTTACTGAGAGTTTTTTTTATATATAAATTAAAACATTTATATATAAATATCTTACTACTTAAAATATAATTCAACTAAAACATACACAATTAAAATTATTTTGTGTATGAATAATTTCATTATTGTTTTACTTATTTTATATTTACCAAAATTAGCTCCTTGATATTTGTATACTAGGTTTATATTCTATTACTATGAATGCATTTCCATGTGACATCATGTTACCATTGAGTTGCAAATTTTACACTAAACAATTTTAAAATATACATTTTTAGATTTATGGAGAAAGTTTTATATTTATTTAAACAGATTTAGGAATTTTATGAATGTAATTGAATGTTGTATTGCATTGGAAACTCCAAGCACAACTTATTGTACACAAATACATTAGAATAATTGAATTTTACTTTTGTATTGTGACTTTTATACAAATTTGTATCTTAGACAAAGTCAATTTCTATTTAGGATTGAAAAATCATTAAGAAAATAGAATGAATAATACACTTAAATTTATGCTTGTTTTTTTTGTGTTTTTTTATTCTTACAAACATATATGTGTTTTAAAAAAAATGTTTGAAATACTGGATATTTAGGTGTAAACTTGAACAGAAATTTTTAATGTATTGGCAATATTAAAAGACTCTGTACAACTGATAACCTGCCTAGTTTCTATTTTCATGTTGTCTGATAAATGAATTCTTATTGTTGATTCAACAATTTCATTTTTAGTCCAACGTATGTCATACATCAAAGTAAAAAAGAATGCACAATATATATATTAAAACAATTATACAATATACCAATGCTTTAATTACACTTTCAAATAAATCAAGAGACCAAAATTTATTTTTGAGTATTGTATATAAAACAATATTTTCTTAAAATCTAAAAACGTTTCAACATGAAATCTTTATTCAAATGCTACAATATTTTGACTCATAAATTTATTGACTTTCAAAACTAAACATTGAATATGTAAATAAAATAAAATCAAATATATATATATATATATATATATATATAATGAAAGTTATACTAATTTTTTGTAGATAAGTGCTACTATATTTGCAAGATTATTAACCCCTTAAGAAAACTGCAATCTTTCCAACTATTCTTAAAAGGTTTACAAAAGTTTTTACAAACTGGATTCAATATTTTGAATTCTAAATTCATCTGTTTTAATGAAAAACATCCAAAGCAATGATTTTATAAACAGTTCAAAGAATTCATGTGCACAACCAAAAGTAGAACTATACTTGACATTTTTGCCATACCTTAAAAACTATTTGCAATTTCCATAACCAATAATAGAAATCCCATTATTAACTAAACATACAATTTAATATAAAAAGGATGAATCCTTTGGAGGTGAAGTGTCTAAAAACCACGGCACGTGGCGCAAAGACCCATCCATGTCATCGGTGAATTCCAAATCCGACATGGCAGGGGCGCACACACAAAGACCATCCAGAATCTGGATTCCATTCCCAATACGAAGAAAATACATCCATTCTTTCATCTACGTAACCATCCAATTCCACCAGCATCAAGACGAAATATGACGAGGGGAATTCATCCATCCATCCATCCATCCATCCATCCATCACAAACTAGAACACATCCAGCAACGGTAAAGGCTGGAAATGGAGATACATCATTCATCCACTCTCGCCACGTCTGCAAATATCACCCCCCCGAAATAGGAAATGCAAGGGCGGAGAAAAGGGAAAGTCGGGTGTGGGGTGAAGCAAGGCACAAGCCCTGGAGAGCCGGGCAGCGTAGCCACCATGTTCGAATCAAGCGTAGAGAAAGCGAGAGCGAGCGAAGGAAGGAAACGAAGGAAGCGAGAGCTACGCTACACAAGCCATGAGACGTAGGGAGTCAAGCGAGGAAGGGAGCGAGGGAGGGATAAGTGGCGACCGGGTTCATGGAGTGTGTGAGTGAGATCAGCAGCTGCAAAGGGGCCACAATTTTGCAGTCCGACCGGGGGGCGGAGGAGGAGGAAGAGGAGGAGGAGAAGGAGGAATAGACTGACTGACTGAATGATGACTGAATGACTGAATGACTCGGTGGACCACACGCACGCGAGCGAGTCGGGCATGCTATGCTGGCTGATACATGGCACCACCTGGAGCCGTGACTCGCAGCTGACAAGAAGAAGAAGTAGAAGCAGAAGCAGAAGAAGAAGCCACGCGACGACGACGACGAAGAAGAAGACGAAGACGAAGACGAAGCTGTGTGTGTGATCATTCCAAGATAACATTTCCGTCAACTATCGCACTCGCACTGCACACATCACATTCTGCTCTCTCTCTCTCTCTCTCTCTCGTACGCACGCGGGGCTTCTCTTTATTGTTGTTGTTGTTGCTGCTGCTGCTCCTCTTCCTTTGGTCCTCGTCCTCTTTTTTTTTTTTTTTTTTTTTTGTTTTGTTTTGTTTTGTTTTGTTTTATTGCGGTCGGGCTGTTCCCGTGCTCGCTGTATTCTTTCGATCGTCTCGCGCACCATTATTGTTTATTACTACCACTACTACTATTACTACTGTTACTACCACCACTGCTACGACGACGACGACGACTACTACTACTACTACCCTGGGTTCCGCGTCTCCACGGTTGCTGGTCGCTCGCTGCAGGCACCGGGAGTTATTTCTTTTCGTAGTTTATTTATTAAATTGGCTGTCCTGTGCTGACAGAGGAGATGGTGCTGGTGCTCGCGTGAGTGGTCAAAGGGGATGCTCTCATGCCCCGGCATTCAGGGCGGGCCGGGGGAGACGGCGGAGAGGAGCTTCTTGAAGCGTCGGTGTCAACGTCACCATCCAGGAGGTGCCGAACCACATTAACAGCACGGTCATCGTCATCAGAGTCGGGGATTGGAGCATGGCCGCTGCTGCTGCCACAGCTGTTGACGGGGTACGTTGTTTTTTATTATATTCGCTCGCGTTGTTCCCGCTAGGGGGTGATTTTGTTAAGGTAATATTGCGTGTGTGGAAACTAGGCAGCGCTGGATACGAGAAGACTGAATTAGGACTGTGGTGTCGTTTTTGGGGATGCGTGAGTTCGACGTTGGCGTAAATTTGGGTGGAAAGTTAGTGGTAGGTAGGGGAGGCTGCGAGAAGTCGGCGCGTGGAATTGAGGGAGAGGGGAGAATTCATCTAGAGTGTGAATGGGAATGCCGGGTACGGTGGGCTGTTCGCGTATATTTTTTTGATGTGTATATGGGGGCTTGTGGAAGTTGGGGGGATTGCGGGAATTCTTTTGTGGAGGAAGCTTGCTTAGTTCGATGGGATGAGGTCTAGATTGGATGGGGAATTGGTACCCGTGGATACTGTGTTGCGGTGCCGGAGGTGTGGGGTGATGACAGCTGGAGCATGGGTTTCTAGGAACTCGACGAATTGAATTGTTGTTATTAGGTTAGACGAGATGCTCATGGAAGGCGATGGCGGTACGGAGATGACTGAACATGGGAATATGTGGTGTGTGGGGTTGGGGAATGCAGGCTATGGGGACGGGGAGTCGGAGGGCAGTGGTGAGAAGCGAGCGATTTATGGAGTGGCAACGAGAACTAAGCAGGTCCGTGTCTGCAGTTCGTAAGCTTGGGCATACAAGTGCATTGCTTACAACCGAAAGGTAGAGGTTTTCCTTTTTCCTTGCCATCTGTTGACGTACTGAGTGGGTCTTAGTGTAGCATTGGTCTGTGTGGAGTTTGAGGTGGGATGCAGGGGGAGGGCCCCCTGCATGTATGTGTGTGACGTGCAAAAAAAATTCGCTCGTCGTCGTGTGCACCCATGCGTCTAGCTCACGTATCCTCCACGGTTGGCGCAAGAGCGACGATGACATGCGAGAGCATGGGAGTTGTGGGAAACCTCGTCTTTCACAGTTGAAGGATTTCCGCATGCTCACAGAAGATGTGGCCATTGATATCGTGGTGATTGCGAATTGTTTTTGAGTGGGTTACCTTCAACAGTATCGATGCCCACAAACTGCACCAAGCTTGTTGCTGGGCAGGAATTGGCTCGGAATTATTGATGACAGTTGTTATAGGCCTTGTGATAGGAGTATTGGTGGTGTCGCACAAGGGGAATAAAGAGTCATTTGTGGTGGTTTATTGCGCCCATCGGAATTCATAGTTGTCATCATTATTCTTTTGAAGGCAATCCAGCGACGAAGACAATGTGAAGATGCAGAGGCGGGATGTTTCGGAGGAGAGGGATGGAGAGGGTGAGGAAGCGGTGGCAGATTCTGAGGGAGGAACTGATGTGTCAGCCGGAAATCATCGACACAGGGGCAAGAAAACACATCAGCGACAGCGGTCGGATACTAAAAAGCCTCGAAAGGATGAAGATGGAGGGGAAAAGAAGAGTGGTTTGACGACCATAAAGGAGTCAGCGACGGGTACAGATGGCGATGGAGGGAGGATAAGACGATGCAAGCAACAGGTGAACCAGGCACCCGCAGCCAAGCGGCCAGCACCCCAGGTGCCTAATCAACAGCATTTGCCTCCGCCCATGGCTCGGGGGAGGCAACGACGTGTGCCCAGCTCATTCACTCCGCCAAAGGAAGATGTGGAGAGAGAGTTGCGATCGTTGACAAGGTATGGTTGAGTTACTTTTTGACATGAATGGAGTATCCCACGTGTCAAGCTGCGGCTCATTCACCCAGTATATTTTTAGTGGCTACTGATCGTCCTACTACTTACAGTGCATGGTCGAACAAATTGGGCTCAGAATTCATGACCTTGAGAGATTCAGGTGCGTTTACCGTATTTGTGCTACTACTTCGCAGAACTGATAACTAAGGTTTTAACTCGGAGGTTGCTGTCCGCACTATGAATGATTGGATAATATTCTGCATTGAATATGTTGATCTAATGTGTAGAGAATATTTTTATTTTTGTTTCATTACTTCAGTAATAAATAAAGTAAAATCGTAGCAGTCGATCTTCTCTGGAGATAGCTCCTATGTTCAACTTTGTGGGATTGTAATCGTCAAGTTTCATTTTAAGGTCTGAGTAGAACGATTAGCAGGAATGCAGCAGCACACAGGACAAGTCAAATGCGGCATTTTTATTTTTATTTCTAAAAAAACGGGCAGCAGCCACGTGAAGTAGTTGATGCAACGAGACTTTGAAGTGGGGTGATGCCTTAGAATTGTCCTCTCGATCCGGTTCGTCGAGTAATTGGGTGCTAAGAGTGAAGTTGAAAGGTTCCGTTATGTTTGACTGCACCAAGCTCAGGAAATGAAAATGTGAAGATGATATGTAACTCGTCTTGTCGGAGTTTGTTAGCGCTATGTCATTGTAAGATTGCTGTTGTATGCCGCGTTGTGACTAAATTGTCCGTCGGGTATGCACGCACGTCCTTTAGAGGTGTAAGTGCATTCATTTTTTAAATTTCAGGATCACTTAATGTGTAGGGAACAAAATGAGTATGTAAGCGTTAAATTGCTATTCAGAAAATTCTTTTTAAAAATTTTGTTCAAAATTTTTGCAATGCACCTTGCATCTAGGCTTGTGTACGTTTTGGAATCACATGTGTCATGGAGTCTATAGCACGAGGTAAAACCGCTGCCACTGCCATGGCTGTTTTAAGAAGTGAGAACAGTGATGAGCGCAGGAATCGTGGCAATGGGTCTGTGCCTACCACGACTGCAGCAGCGCCCACGAACAGCAGCAAAGGAGCGACAAAACGGTCAAAACGAGTGGCCCAACGTCTGGCCAACGAGGAACCTGCTCCACCACCATTAAAGCTGCCAAAGCTTCACCTGGTTCTAACACGAAAAGAAATTCAGGAGGACTGGTTGAAGATCACTGGTCACAAGTATACCGGCAAACCCAGAAAATCTTCATTGATCCAACGAGTATGTCTTGAACTCCTAACCAGATTTTGTGTGCAATTAACACTTCTTTTTTTTAATTTTTAATTTTTTCGTTGTGTGTGCCTCTGTGTTTCTTGCATTGCCAATGAGAAGAAGTTTAGTGTAATACTTAACTAATTCGTTGTTGCCACCTGCTCCAAGGAATATGGAGGGGGTTGTTTTGGATCGGCCCTATTTGGGAACGCCCTTTATTATAATAATTGGGAGAAGCATCCCAGTTCTGAGAATTTTTGTTTTTGAATTTATTTGTTTTTACCCTGCAGGGTCTGGGTTTATGTACGGCTTTGACATGTCCGTCATCCATTCGATACCTTAATGAACCCCAGTGTAGGTATTCATTTTCTCAACCGCTAGATACAAATTGGGCATGTTCTGGGCAGTGGTTTAAGCTGCATTTTGTATTTCAGAATACTGTTTAACTCCATCTTCTGTTGTCTCAAAGACATAGTTGATTGTTTTGCATTGGAAGTGTCATGTTTCGTTATATTGACGACGATTTGTGTTTAGAGTGGTTCAGCATTGCAGGTCCCCTGACAGCTATTGAGAGCAGCGGCGACAGGCTTCTTTAGGCTTTACAGAGCGGGTGATTGGCTGATAATTTAGCAGATTCGTCACGGGTTCATTCTTTTGGCTACCACATCATATCATTTTTTTGAGCCTCCAGTACTTGAAGGAATAGCATTTTGTACCATAGTATTGAATAGTAGCGAATGCAGACTGAAGGATTAGAGTAGACACTAGCTCCCACAGTGAGGTAGGCCTGCTCACCATGTTTGTTGTGTCCGCTGGTGTGGCTCTGGTGGTCATGTATTACAGAAGGGCGTGAGGTTTTCCGATCTGGCCTCTCTTATCAGCATCCCTGCGCATATGCGAGATAAATAGTCCTTGTGAAGATTACAATGTGGTGACGACGTGACTGTATCTAAAATATAGTTCAGGGTAGTCTCGACTAGTTTGATGATATCTTTCTCAGCTACTGATACTGACAGCGTGCTGCACTAAGAGGGCTTAGTGTCGTGGCTCTTGAGGAACGTCACCGGGTTCGTGGTCACCAAGCATGTTCTATCTCAATGAACTCGATATCTGACGTTGTTAAGTGGAATTTGCTATCTTTTGGTTTATGAAGCATCTGCTAGAATTGGAGTGGCACTGTGCCGTCCGAAATGCGCAAGCTTGGTAGTGTCCTCAGAGAGCACCGCACAGAATTGTACACTTGGGTTGAACCGAGATTTTTGCTGATATGATAATCCTTATTTTCGAAGTCGGAACCTTTTAGTGCCACACCCGTATTCGTAGCATCTTTGATTCCTGGAGATTCCGTATGGTATGTATTCTAGAGATTCCATTGACGTTGAATTGATTGGCAATACTGCACACAGTTTCTGAGACTTTCAACGGTCGCTCTTATTGACAAGATTCTCTATAATCATGATTGCTCCACCATTATACTCTCATGTAACTAGTTCTTTGTCGTAACATTTCACAGAGGAGCTACAGCGAGCTAATGGTCAGAGAGAAGATCTCGGTTGTAATCAGATGTATGATTGTGAGACCCGAGCATGATATCTTAGAATCGTCTCAGGTTTACAGGAGAGGCACGTGCAGGCACAATATTGCAGAGGAAGTTTGTGGACGCTAATTCGTTTTCGCTCTTAAATAATCCTCTTGAAGTTGATATAATAGGATACCATCTTGATGCTTGGGATTTGTCCTAGTATGATCTTATACAGGGTGGTTTAACTATTGGGATAAACCTAGATGTCGATTCTTTTCTATAATAATACACAAGATGCCGTATCTCTTGAACGTTTTCATGTGAACCTTTCGATTGTGTACAGTCGAAAGACCTCTCATTTAACCCTGTCTTTAGTTCTCATATTTAAGATATTTTAAGGATCTCAGGTGTGTCGATCGAGTACACGATTTCACTACACAGTTGCTTTCCTAAGTGTGTGAATGTCTCCTAATGCTTGTATTGTTATTGGGTCCGACGGGAGACCATGAAAGCGGTTCTCCTGAAGACAAGCTTGTAAGGCCTAGTTTTCGGTCTCGATGCATGCCTTCATGCAGCTTTTAAGGATCATAGCCGCTCTGCTGCACCTTTGGTGAACCCTGTGGGTAGCATCATTTTGTGTTCTATGCATTGGCTTTTGTTTCTGAGTGAGTCCTAACTTTCAAGGGTTGTGGTAGCGAAATCTGAGTCTACACTGATTTCATTGAATGTAAGTGTCCAATTTTAGGTTTTTCTTTTTTTGACTTCGGTAGCACCCTTGACGCGGATAATTTACAAATTAAGGTTGTTACCAATTATCGCTAGTATTCGGAGATACCCATATTGGACACCAGCATTATTTACTTGACCTAACCCCAACAAAATTTGACCGCAATTTAACCAAAATTGAAAAGTTTTACCTGTTGTCCGGCCCAGTCAGTTCTGCGACCAATGACCCAATTCGAGACAGATCACTGAAGTAAGGAAATCTCATCCCAAAACAGTGCGGGAAAAAACCCGATCCAACTGAATTCAAAAACTATGACATGAAACAAAATCTTTCACAGCCCATTGAAGGAACTGACATGGGAGACATACAGGGAAATATATTAACGCATTTACGAAAAGGGAAAAGAAAAAAGCGATATCTTAATCAACTTGTCTATAATTAACCCCAATGGTCACCCTAAGTTTTCGATGCGATCTAACTCATGTTGACACAATTTCTATTATACACCGAACTAACCGTACAGCATAATAACTACACATGAGAAAGACAAATGCACACAACAAGGAGAGAGAGCAGGGGGGCAGAAGTTTCTCCACTGATTTCTGGGCTATCACTGGACATGGCTTCCTCCTGAGTTCACGGCGAAGGCCCACGTTGAGACGAGCGGCGTCGTATTGTTATTATTGTTGTTGTTGTAGGTTTTAATTATTAATTAATTAATTTTTATCTGCAATGTCGTGGAGACAGACAGACACGTTCTGAAGGGAATCCTCACATCGTTTGCGTAGGGGAAGTAGTAGAAGTCCCATCCAAATGGATGAACTATGCGTTGCTGCAGGATGTTCCTACATTCATCCATAGAAGGTCAATGGCCCAGAACTCGTGAGTCGGTTCTGTCTCTGTGCTGATGTTGTTTTTTTTCTCCATTAGATTGACGCAATGGCGTTGGTGCAGAAAGCACACTGACACACATACTCACACACAGAGAGAGCGAGAGAGGGAGAGAGAGAGAGAGAGGGAGAGAGAGAGAGAGAGGGAGAGAGAGAGAGAGAGGGAGAGAGAGAGAGAGAGGGAGAGTGAGATCGAGAGTTGCGATGCAAAGTTACGAATAGCAATGTTGATACTGCCCTCGTTCGTCGCACGCCCGCCTTCGCGTCGTGCGATGTAACGTCACTCGCGGCACCAATTACCACTTGCGGCAACAATTAATACAATCTCCCCATCCCCCTTGCACCTCTCTCCACCGCGGTGTGTGTGTGCCACTAGCGCCCTCCTGTGTCGGGGTTGAGTCACCATTAGCCGCTCTTGCACTCCGCCAGAGGTGGTGGATACGAAAGTGCCCGTGGTTCAGAAAAGGTTTCTTGTGTGTGTTTTTTTAGAGGCGGGGGATAGCGGATGACGGGGCTCAAGGTTGTGGAAGCTGGTGTTAAGGAGGCAGAGTAGCGGAGGTTGGTGTGAGGGGGAGAGAGAGAGAGCGAGAAAGGTTAGTGTTGGTGGAGACCGGGAATAAATTCCCACTGGGAGTGGTGCGTGGAGGGGGAGGATTTTCGTTGCGCGGATTGAGTTACGGGGAGGCGCCGTGGGGAACGAAGGAATCTGATTAGTGATGGACAAAAAATTGGTCTATCCCGAGTTTATAATATGCCTTGTTATATTTTAACCTGATATTTTCCAATGTCTGCCGGCGCGCATTTCGGCAGAAGGTATGCTGCTATTTTGGATGGCGCAAGGCGCGATCTCTGACTTTCGGGCAACTTTCGCAGGGCATGTGCTCTGAGCCTTATGGACAATAGCGCCTGCGCTTGAGAAGCTGTGTTAGGTTGCCTGTGGAGCTCGTTTCGCTGGTTATCGTACCATGGAGCATGATGGGCAGAGCTATGGAGCATTAAACGTGTATTTCGATTCCGTGATTGGTGTGGAATTTTGCGGAGTTGATTAATAATTGTTCATACCTCATTTTTAGTTGAGATTGTGCGACTCCCAGAATCGAAGACGTGGAATTTGAATCGTACGTGCGACCTTCTTACGGATGAGACTCAGCTATGGTTAAGTGGCGAGGTTGGTCGGGATCGCACGGGAAGCGCACTCTTTGTCAGGCGGTGGTTGTGGAGACCAGGTCGTTAGATTGTGTGAAAGCAGAAGGCGCCTATTTTTGAAGTTCCATGGGACGATTAGAGCATAGCTGCGTTTTGAAAGGGTTTGAAATCGTAGCGTCTAGTCGGCGGATCTATCAAGTCGGAGAGAAATTGTTTTGAATGTTAGTCCTGTAGGGCATTCTCATGAGAGAGAGACGCAGGTGAGGTGGCGACGTCAGGGCAGTATGAGAGCGTTCACAGGGTGGGTAGCTCCCTTGTTACTGCTACTGTTGCTCTCTTGCTCAAGTCTATTGAGCTCCAGTAATGCTTCCCTACGTCAAACTAATGCTTCAGACCCCAATCCTGGGTCGGTCGAGCAAGTATCCAGATTTTGTACCGTAGGAGACACTGAAAGTTGTGGGATGGACTCGCATACTTGCTCCTCCTATCTGTTAACACACTGTACAGCAGGGCATGGGCAGAGTTGTAGGGCTACTACGGATGGGGAGGATACCACGGAAGGGATTGGCCTCGTGAGAACTGTTGGAGAAGTGAACGATGAGTACATTGTCAGATTTAAGGAGTACCGGCACTCGTCAGAGTTTAAACTGGCTCTGGAGCAGAAACTTGAGCACAATGATAGGGCTTGGCAATGGTTGGAGCGCAATAACCCGGCATCTGCTTTCCCCACAGATTTTGCATTGCTGAGGATAAAAAGGTCGCAACATGAGGATGTGCTAGAAGCGCTCAAGAAATTGGAGTTTGTGAAGGATGTCTCTCCACAGATGCGCTTCACCCGATCCTTGACATCTGAAAAGAGTGAAGATGAGCACGAAGGATCGGAAGTAGCGCATGAACAATTTAAACCGAAAGACAAAGAGGAATTTCTAGAGAGCAAACCTCCAGGCCGCCTACACACAAAGCTCTCTTTTGAAAGTGGAATTGAGGATGTAGTGTCTCCTGTCTTTTCAAACGTATCTCTTGATCACGGCCGCAAGCTTCTTTTGCAGGTATTGCCGGATTTCTGCCCTTTTGACAGAACACAGTGGACTATGGTCATACCCAGTTAGACCCTCCCAAACATAGTTAGCATGTTGAATCTGATGATGGTATATCTACGTTTTAGGTGTGTTGTATGAAACCTAATACTTGGTGCAAGCCAATGTGCTGGCGCGTTTTTTGGTCACTCTGTATACCATGTTTTCCCTTCAGTACGCATTTCATACCTGGTGAATAGATTGATCAGAAGGTATCTCATATTGCTAGGACTAGAAGATTCGAAAGTAAAATTTCAAAGTGCAAGTAGCCGAACTTTAAAAAATGTTAGAAAGAAGAAAAAAGCAATAAGTCGGTTAATAACGAAATAATGAGGCCTTTTTATTTCTAAGATTTTTCAATATTTAATTCCTTGCATTTTGGAAATCTTACCTCTGATTCTTCTAGTCGTATGAGGGATATTCATCCTGCAAGTAATTGGTTTCGCGATATTTTAGGGGATATAGATTCGTAATCAATTAGCCTGTCAGTTTCGATTATCATCATCGGCTACTGCCTAATTTTTCAATCTTATTATTATTTTTTTTATTACTATCCATATATAGTTTTGTCCTATAGGTATAATATCTAGTGACATCTCTTTTATACCTATGTAAAGTCACCCTACCAGGAAATATCTTATGTTGATAACCTGTCAGCAGCATTCCGATATGTAGTAAATCATCTATTTAATCTCTAACATGTATGTGTCGCTTGTTTGGATTAAACAGCGGTCACAAATCACATCCATGTTCGAAGCAGAGAAGCTTTGGGCCAAAGGATTCACTGGTGCAAACGTCAAGATGGCTGTTTTCGACACAGGTGTTCGTGCTGATCATCCTCACTTCCGCAATATAAAGGTAGTTCCAGTTTACACGATATCCTGCTTTTTTTAAAAAAGAAAATATATTTTAACGATCATGCTGCAGTGTGCACCTAGGGTTGGATATTCGGGATTTTGTTCAATTCACTGCGTCTTTACATTGAATGGCAGGACAATTTCCTGTTCTTCATCAGGGGAAAATTTTGTGGTCCAGAGTTGAGGTACATCAACCTGATAATTTAGTCTCTGAGATGTTAACAGTCTGTGAGCAACCTTATGAAACTAATTGTGCTCTTTAGATCTGTTCTGTTCCCTGTAAATATAGTCATGGAACTGATGTACGTTCTGATTGGCGTGTGGTTGCAGGAAAGAACAAATTGGACCAACGAAGACACATTGAATGACAATCTAGGTCATGGCACTTTCGTTGCAGGGGTGATTTCCAGCCAAGATCCTCAGTGTCTTGGATTTGCTCCTGATGCTGAAATCTACGCTTTCCGCGTATTCACTGATGCTCAGGTAATTTCATCAATGACATCGTTCTTTATTCTTTTTGTCTTTTTATTATTATTTTTCTTCGCCTGGTTTTATTATTCCATTCATTGGATGTTGAAACGAAGCAACTATGATTAGTAATGTAGCTTTACATCACACAGCTATCATGTTTCTGAAGGTAGAGGTTTCACACGAATCATACCTTTCTTTCCATATGATAAGAAGTAATGTTGTGAATTGCAGGTATCATACACCTCTTGGTTCTTGGATGCATTTAACTATGCCATAGCTACCAAAATGAATGTCCTCAATTTAAGTATTGGAGGACCTGATTACTTGGATCTACCTTTTGTTGAGAAGGTAATATGCGAGTGCCTTTTAGCCTCCTGCAGCAGCGTTATCTGAGAGTCATTTTTCTTGCTTATGTTATTGACCTTAGCCTTGTATCATCTAGCTCGAAGTTCCTCTCTGTAGAAACCCTTCTAGAGCTGCAGCGTTTATTGTTAAATATCTTATCTTGTGGTCCTGTCGATCTCATTACAAGCGTAGGGTATATTATCTGAAAACTTTGACATTTATTGTTGTTTTCTCAGTTTTATTTAGTATCAATAGCGGACTTTGATGACCTCAACGTCTGAACAATGTGGTGGCTATGTGTAACAGGTATGGGAAATGACTGCAAACAACATCATCATGGTATCAGCCATAGGCAACGATGGACCACTTTACGGCACACTGAATAATCCTGCTGATCAGAGCGATGTAATTGGAGTTGGAGGCATTGACTATAGCGACCATATTGCCTCCTTTTCATCACGAGGCATGAGCACCTGGGAAATCCCACATGGGTTAGTACTCTCTATGTCTGATGACACCATAATATTCTTATTGGACATAATTCATGTTGGATGTTTGAGGGAACGTGAAAAATATTTTTCTACCGTGAACATCGAAGCAGACGAATGTTCAGTGAAGAGCGTTAAAATATTTGAAGGATGCAGGTCTAGATCTTGCTGGTCAGAGGGCTCTTCGAGGCTTTTTTGGTTCTTTTTGGTGGATTGCTGAACTACCTTAGATATGGATTTTTCAATTACCATTTTAAGCTTTTCAAGCACCTTTTACCCGATTGACTAATTTTATGTTATCTTATATGTGAGATCATTGAAGTGTATGAATTTCACATGTTTGTGGTGGACAGGTATGGTCGTATAAAGCCGGACATTGTAGCTTATGGACGAGAGGTGATAGGGTCAAAGATAAGCACAGGCTGCAAGAGTTTGTCTGGAACGAGTGTGGCCAGTCCAGTAGTCGCTGGGGCAGTTTGTTTGCTTGCCAGTGTGGTTCCTGAACAGTATCGGTGGAATTTGCTCAATCCTGCCAGCATGAAACAGGCCCTGGTTGAGGGAGCGTCACGTCTGTCAGGACCCAATATGTTTGAGCAAGGAGCCGGCAGACTGAACCTGTAAGATCTTTTTTTTCGCTTCTCTCAAGATGTTGCCCTAATTTTGCTAGCTAATCTTTCTAAGTATGAATAGTGGCATATTAGTTCGGTTTTTTACCCCGTTGTGACGATTCAACCTAGAAGGACTCGTACATACATTTCTGCTTACAATCGTGGCTACTAGTGTGTGTTTTCACATGTTGTATTGGTTTTGTTTAGGTTGAAATCTTATGAAATCCTGGCAACTTACAAACCTCGCGTGAGCATTCTACCAAGTTCCCTAGATCTTACAGATAGTCCTTATGCATGGCCTTTCTGGCGGCAGCCTCTCTATGCAGGGGCTATGCCTTTAATTTTCAATGCAACGATTTTGAACGGTATGGGCCCCGTGGGTTACATAGAGTCTGCACCTAACTGGGTGCCCTCTGGAGATTCAGGAAGGCTGCTGGACATACGATACACATATTCAGACGTGATCTGGCCTTGGACTGGGTTTTTGGGATTATATCTCAGAATTAAACCTGAAGGTAACAAATTTCAAGGAACAATAGAAGGAAAAATCACATTTAGGGTAGTTTCTCCTCCCGCGAAGGGGGAAAGTAGCAAACGCAGATGGGATTGCGAATTACCACTAATAGTTTCTGTCATCCCTACACCTCCCCGAGAAAAGCGTATCTTGTGGGATCAGTTCCACAGTGTACGGTACCCACCTGGTTACATCCCTCGTGATTCCCTGGATGTGAGGAATGACATATTGGATTGGCATGGGGACCATTTGCATACCAACTATCATGGCATGTTTGATGCCCTTCGTGATGCCGGTTATTACGTTGAGACCCTTGGTTCTCCTTTGACATGCTTCGATGCTACTCAGTATGGGACATTACTCATGGTGGACCTGGAAGACGAATATTACACTGAGGAAATCAAGAAATTGCAAGATGATATTCAAACGAAAGGGCTTGGGTTGATTGTTTTTGCGGATTGGTATCATGTAGATACTATGGTGAAAATGAAGTTCTTTGATGATAATACTCGAAGTTGGTGGACTCCTGCGACGGGTGGGGCTAATATTCCAGCTTTAAATGACTTGCTTGCCCCCTACGGAATTGCATTTGGAGATACAATACTGAATGGTGCTTATTCCATTGGAGGGGAAAGAGCACATTATGCCTCAGGCACAGATCTCTTACGTTTTCCTACTGGAGGCTTTGTTCACCGATTCCTTTTTCAAGACAGCTCCGGCGGTCGCTCTGGCATAACCTCATCACGCAGTTCTGTGCGAGCTCAGGTCTCCTTCGTCAGGCTTTCATCTTATTATGTGTACCTTGTGATAATATTCACGCTTTCCTGTTTAAATAGAAACAAGTAATGGCACTAATTGATTGATTGGTTTAGTTATTTATTTTTTGGTTCTCTCTGAATGTAGTCCTTTTTTTCACAAACTAGGCACAAGTGCAATGCCAATTTTGTGAGAACAATCTTTTCCTGCTATGTCTATTTTGTATATTTTGATTAAGTGTTCTACATCTGATTATGTTTTGTTCATCGAGGTAATGAAATTGTGAATATATGTAGCTTGAGTGCTTTGTCTTCATGTACTCATGGTTAATATTATAATGATCGATACAGGTGGAATCTCCAATTTTGGGAGCAGTGGATGCAGGAAAAGGACGCATTGCCGTGTATGGCGACTCCAATTGTTTGGACAGTAGCCACATGGTGAGCAACTGCTACTGGTTGCTGAAGAAGCTATTAGATTTTACAAGTTACAACAACCAAGATCCTGTCATTTTTCCTGCGACAAACGAGTTAGGCTCTCCCCTCGGCAGTATTGACTCACCGTTACCTCAGCGGCGTAGTGATGTGGATTTTAGTGCTTACTCTCTTGTTTTAAAAAATCCTCTGCGATGTGGCTTAGATTCCCCAGTTGCAGTGCATGGCTCTAAAGGCTACATTTCTGATCAGTCTACTAGAACTATTAAAATCGTACCGGAACCTAAGAATTTTGGCGGTGGGCATCTACAGCCCGATGAATTCAACAACACATCGCGAGATAGTGCATCTCCTTCCACATATAGACCATTTACAAAGAGTTTTCCAACTGATTCAAATAGGCATTCAAACACAACAGCTTCTAGATCAGGTAGCGAGAGAGATCGGATGTTAGAACCTGGTGGTTTTAACGCCACAATGGTATCGAGTGAATCAATCCTTGAGATTCGGACTGCCAATGTTTCGAATTGGAAAGCCCAGAACAAAACTCAAGTGGCGCTCGGTTGGTGGGGCCGGGATGAGGTCAGTACGTTCATGTTCTTGTCGCTTCTTCCATTGGTGATGTATTGGATGATCTTATGCTTTCATTTTTCTAAAGCTGAAGCGTACCTTGTTTACTACTAAGAAATTTGGTTTTTGATTATGTGCTCGTGGGAAGCTCTCTTAATATTCATTCGTTTTAGATTGTTATTTTTGTAGCACCTTAATATTTCCACCATATTTCTATCTGTGAAGTGTTGATTTGTAGTTATGTTTTTGGATATATCTTCTTATCTGTACAAGTTCCAGCATTTTATGGTTGGAGACTTTAACCGATTTAGTGCTAGGGTCTGATTGAAGTTTTGGACTGTGCAGCTGGATCTCACCACACAGGCAGCTGTTCAATGGCTGGCCCCAATTCTTCTATGTATAACAGGTAGATCTCAGTGCCACTTGGTTATGGAATTGATAACTATTGCAACATGGTAGTGAGCCGTGTTAGCTGTGCCTACTCATCTGCGCCTATTTTTGGCGGTGAAGTGGAGAACGTGCTAGTAATTCTGAGACAAAATAATTCGTCATCAGTTAGTTTATTTTTTAAAATTAAAGAAAGAATTGTGTTATTTTCACAAGAGTTCTAAGCAGTATAGGCGTCTGCAATTGGCATGTATCATATTTTTCCTAAGAACCTTCCGTTCATATTAATTGGGAATATTCGTGAACTGCTGGCTGGTTAGTTAAGCATTGCTTCCTTTGGAATATAACTGGATGGTTCATTGTTGTGCAGGATTCGTACTCATATTTGGCCTTTGGCGCGTAAGGCAAAGGAAACACAGGCGTGCACGAAAGGGATCAACACGGTCCTTAATAAATTTGTGACAAATGTATGCTAACCGATGAAAAACAAATTTTAAATTAATTATTGATTTTCCACTTGTCCTTGTCACTCTCATGATTCCCTTGGGTATGCTGCAACAGTCGCTTAGAACATCTCATTGCTCATATCTGCTGCTCAGTTGGTTGGGGTGACTTTTCTGCCAAAGTAGTATATCCAGATTGTAATTAGGGTTTTCAAGCTTGCATTATAAACAGTCAGGGTGCAAGTTTCCATTTCTTTTTTTCTGGAGTGAAACTTTAATATGCAAGTGCACCTCTCCCCTCGCCCTGGTTCGCCCTATTATTTGCAAATGTAGTTAAGTTTTTTCATTCATTCTCATGAAAGTCCCTTCAGAAGATTGTGCTGAACACGTTTTTATCACAGTTAAGAAGAAACACGGGTGCCAGCTCTCTACAAAAAAAGCTGTGCAACAATGATGGCAGAATTGGCGAGAGTTGTTTATTAGAACGCGTGAAAGCTGGTCGTGAACACCTGGTGTACATCATGATTCTGATGAGATGATTGTACTAAGGAATGAGCAATAAATCTAAGAGCAAGTATTATTGCACTTATGAGCTCAAGGTGTCATAGGTCTCCCAAGGAAGTGAGATCGTGTCTGACCTCCATGCTGTAAGAGGACACTACTCAACAAGGATGCAAGAGCTTCAACGAAGTCATGTACAGATTCTGCCGTGGGGACGTATTTCAGTGGTACCTGTCAGAACCTCCAAAAGACTTCAACTTCATTCACAGGAAATTGGTCAATCAGCAATTTGTTTGCAATAACTACCGCATTGTGAAAATATTCATATATATATATATATATATATTGAGGAAGTACCTAGATTTCCATTTAGTGAAGAAAAACTCTAATTTGGAAGCTTTGGTATCAAGAGATAGTATAAACTAAGAAGAGATTATGAAATGAATTAAATCATTTTCTTTCAATTTTTTATTACAGGTCTAAATATGTCAAATTTTATTTTGATTCTAACAATTATAAATAATATAAATTTTATATTCTTAAAATAATTTAATGGTTATTTTTAATGATTTTCGACACGACTTTTCAAATTTATGTAAAAACTACCTCTTGAAGTGGATATAGTACATATTCCAAAGAATAATACTATTCATGTTATGTAAGAAAAAAATGCATTCTAATTTACATTTTCTAATTAAGGCCTTTGGATAGATTTTTCTAAGTATATAGCTAATTAAAAAAGGTTGTTTAATTTTAGTCAATCAAAAGATTTGAAGTATTTGATTTTTTACCTTTCTTCTAAAATATAAAAGCCCTCTTATTGTAAAGATGAAAGAAGAGACATAAATTTTGATATTCTAATTTTATCTTCTACTTAAGAAATTGTAGAGTTTGTTGAAAGATTAAAAAAGAACTTCTACTAATATTTAAGATGAATTATAAAGTGAAAGATGATGAACATCATGTTTTATATGATGCTATGAAGTAACAATATTTGCAATGCTTAAAATCCTATATATAAGTTATTATATCACCAAAGAAATATAACTTATTAAGGATTGTAGTAATAGACAAGTGAGACTGTAGAAGGACATTTATGACTTCTTACACATTAGTATATTAAAATTAAAATAAATAAATAAATAAATAAAAGAAAAGAGAAGAGAGGACATAAATAGAATTTATTTAAAAAAAATTAATACACACACATGTAATGTCACACATTGTATTTATAGAAGTTTAAAATAATAACAAAAACATGCAATTTGAAGATATTAGTAAGCAATTATGAATTCTCAAAAGTAATATTAATAAATTATAATGATTCTGCTAACAGCTTCACCATTTCTACTGCATGATGTTAAATTCTTAGGAACAAATGATGTTAGGAAGTTGTTTTTGTCTTCCAACTATAATGTATGACAAAGTTATTGCATGATACTAGAAAATCATAACAAGTAGCCAATAGAATGTTGGTGACATCACCAAGAGCACTTACAAAATGTGATTTGGTAGTGTTATATTTTAAGATTAAATACAAAAGAATATTGTATCTATTCTTCAATAGACTTGTTGGTCATATTGCAAAAGTAACAAAATCAAAAATACTCAGAAATCAATTAAAGTATAAATCATTTTATTTCTAATTTATTATTTAAAATACATTAAGTAATAAAGAAACACAAATATTTTTGTATCCCTCTCAATTATATTGATATCCCTTAGAGTTACTCATTGGTTTGTTTGACAGTATATAATATTTTGTTATTACTAATCTTCTTGTTATCCACTCCCAAACAACCAATAATTAATTTAGGAGAGTACCAAAATAGCCAAAGGAGGTATAAGAATATTCATGGTTTAATAAAATTATTAAAATATTAAAACATAACAATCGTTGTGATATTTAGGTCATAAATTAATAAAAAATTAAAAACAGTTCTTTTTTAATATGGGATGAGTTTAAACACAATAATATTTTATAACTAATGAAAAAAAATCAAATTTTATAATTGTACCAATGTATTAAATATGTGCACACGACTCTTAATGTATTAATGTGGCAACACAATATAGATTTCCAATAGAAGTTAGCATGCCTTTTCATTACAAAGCTCTATCATATTCTAATCGAATGTTTAAAGAGTCATTTAATCTGTTATATTAAGTTTTAAAAAAAATGTAAATTGAATCTTGATTCACTTCTTTGTTTATATCATCATATAACTTGATCAACAATTGTTAGGAACAGATTTAAACTACAAAAATTGGATTTGTATGCAAAAGTAGATGCCACTTACCCAGTGTACCAGCACAATTTCACCTACTGCATAATTTGCCTGCTATTTTCTTGATGGAAAGTGATAAAAGAAAAATCATAAGGATTTCCTCCCCATTGAATTGAAATTTCACGAGAGCCCATTCACATAAAAGACGCCTCCCTTATGTTACATGATATAGATAATACTCTGAAAAACCTTCACAAATAAATGTATAAAAGAAGCTACTGGTATGAGAATCTTGCTCCTCAATGTGGCCGTTTGGCAACCCTGGGCTGCACATTGAACCATTGATTGAGTTGGATAATAGCTGACATACATATTTTGAGTCCAACAGCTGACACAATTCTGTCAGGCCTGATAATACAGCTGCTGTTGTTTGCTCCGAAACTCTTGAAAGGCTCCTTTTTGACTCGCAGTATCCTGGCTTGAACCAATTACACTCCGTTTAGACTGCTCATTTTTTTCCACCTTACTAGGCTTGGTTGCTTCCTCTTGCCATGGCAAACTTTGGGCCTGATTAGAATAGGCATCATCGTCGTTGTCGTCGTCGTCTATTAATGCGTTTGAAGGGATGACTCCATCTACAAAGTATGAGCACAGCACAGAGACGGCTTTGCATCGTATCTCAGCCCACACTTCTTCACTGTAATCGGCACTGCGAGGAAGAATCAACACGTTGGGCATTTCCCTCACCTGTTCAAGACAAAGAAGTCGAACAAATAATTAATGAAGAATCCATTCTATTTGTAATTAAACATCATGCAGTAGAAATGGTGAAGCTGTTAGCAGACATGAAGATAGCGCTGTACCCAAGCTTCTAGCCACTGGGGGCCTTCGATACCGTCCAGGGCACAGCCAGCAATAGTGCCATTGATGAGCGCTTCTTTCATCGCACAGTCATCCAGCAGGTGGCTACTGCTTGTGTTTACCACTACCGCACCTGTCCAGCACCCAATCAAATGGACTTACTAATCAGGACCTTAACAACACCATTACAAGAGAATAAGCAATCAATATCCAAGTGTCTTATCTCCAATAGAGTATTTCTTAATTAAACAGAACATAGAGTGACAACTCAGAAGCTCTATGTATATTGAGTTGGTTACGGCTCAGCATGACCAATCAAAGAACCTGGTTTCATGTGTTGTAGACTATCGGTATTAATCAGCTGAACAGTGTCATTGGTAAGTTCGCAATGAAGTGTAACGATGTCGCTGGTGGAGAGCAGCTGTTTTAAACAATTTATTTTTTCGGCTCCTGCCGGAAATGCTCTTCTGCGCTGGTTTTCTTTTCCCTGAAAGCATCACTTCACTCTTCATAATCGTTTTACATTTAGCAGACACGGATATGCATACAATACATACGGTGCGAGTAAACATTGTTTCTCGATATCTACATATTCCAAAACCACCATCGCCATGGTTGCCTGCTGCCATAACTAAGCTTCCGCGCAATGTGCGCGCACACAAGAGCATTCTACACTACAAATCCGAGTTCGGCACACATCACAGGCGCAGAGGGACTTTTCTCTCGTGACCTCCAACTTCAGATAAATTCGAACAAAGCCATCGAAACTATGAGTTAGACGCATCGATCCTGGCCAACAGAACTCGATACCCAGAATTTCTCCGGTTCAAGAAAAGAACGTAGAGAATAGATTACAAACGAAAAGATGAAATCAAAGATTGACCATTACCTCTTCGGGATCAAAGTACTGAACCTTCATTCTAAACGCAAGACTTCGACTTGCAACTGCACGTGCAGGTGCTGTGGCACCAACGATGCCGATGACCATTCCCTTGGAGCGACGCATTCCCTTACATAAGGAATGTATGGTACCCAACCATCCAGCAGAGGCGTACCCATGAGAAGCCAGGACGTGTGTGTGCCTAAGGAGCCCGAGTAGCAAAGCCAATACAGTATCAGCAATCTCTTCTTCTCTTGCACTATCCACATGTAGTAATTGCAACCCTAATTCATTTGCCAGAGCAGAGTCCACCATCTTGTCCATGCAGCTCAAAGTCAAAATCAAATGCCATGGTTGCAATCGTCTTTGCGCTGCTCGAGGGAGGTGAGCTAGAGAGTGCAGCAAAACTGCCGATGCTGCCTCGATCTTACCCTCACCCAGCTGTGCCAGGCTCACATGTTCGATCTTCGCCACTCCTTTCAGCTCCTTCTCTTCCAAAGAGCAATCTGGTAGACAGTTGAGGGCAATCACAAGCGGCAACCTCGACGCTTCAGGTGCATCTCGAGCATTTGCTTCGGCTTTAACCACCTGCGTGGTGACAGTCTTGGCGCCACCCCACTTCTTCTCTGCCGCAGCGCGTTGTACCTTCCCCATTGCTTGGATACCAGACAGGGTTTTCGCGTGTCCCCCCAATCCGAGGGTTTTATTTTCGCTACTTTCTCATTTAAATTTTCGAACCTCAGTCATCATATTGGGCCATCCGCCGCTCAGAGGCTTCTGATAATACTTCATAGGACTACTCCTCAGCACATTAAGGAATAAGATCATCGACACGTCATAAATAATTAAACATGCCAAATTTAAGATGGCGTCTACAAAGTTACATCATATACTCGAAAATGACTATACCTACAAATTCTCTCAACAATAACACCACAGGCTCAATTTCTTGCAACTGAAAGAAGTAGCCCAACAAAACAGCCCTTGCGCTCCAAATGGCCTTATTTCAGACACCGAAATTCCTCTATTCACCACAGCTACTAGACGACGATGGACCTTAAAACCATCCACATCATTACGGCATATTCAACAAACCCTGGCTCGACCCCCGACATTCGATCCACAGCATAAGGACAGGAACCTCACCAGTGAGCGAGCAACAATCAACACCTTGCTTCTAACCCAACCTAAGTTCTATCCGATGACCCGAGCTGTACTGGAATCAAAACACCACTAAATTGCTCCATAATCCACAAGCAGGCAACCATCCACACTAACTTAGAAGGCAGGCATTGCACCGACGCCAATGACGTTCGTTTCCCGCCAACCCATTTTCACAAAACCATGAGCAATGTCATTCAACTTCCTGAAAATGGCTGGCATGACCATGTGGCAGCAGATGCTATGGTGCACCAAAAGATACGAGAGCGGGAACCCAACTAAAACGACGGGACGTAGGTAGTAATCCTTCGCAATTAGCACGAACTCCATGTGCAAATCCTCGTAGTTGTAAAACCCATGCACAGACCCAAAGGATGTAAGAAGGCTGTAGTCAGGCGAGGGCATTGCAAAAGAAAGAGACAGTTAAGACACCCGCTCCAGCCCCATTAGCGCCTCACAAGCTCAGTTACTGCTGGTCCAAAGCTCTTTCCAGGCTCCTCTGGCCACTCCCACATAATGCTGGACGACAAGAGTACACACACACTTTGCACAGCTTTTACGTTCATCTGACAGATAGGGCAGCCGTGGTGCACTTTCAACTGAAAGATGCAGTTCATTGTCTGGGTCCTAAGTCTTGATATTAGGTGTTTCTGCTACCTGACCTTCCATTCCTTATCAACATTTCCAAGCGTCCTCTGGCATTTTCTTTGGAGGGTGGCTTCACGAGTACAATTTCTAGGAGGGAAAAACCATTGTGTACCTGAACAGGAAGTGTTGAGATTGACTGTTATAGACAGTGCCAGGTCCAGACACGAACAGCACATGAGGCAATAATAACTTTTGTCGACTATGGTGCATTTGGATGAAGTGTCAGTGTTGTGTCTTGTATGTGCTTTAGATGGTTTGAGGCCAGAGGAGGCACAGGACAGCCACAAGTTCGGACTTAGTATACGAAATTGATGATGTCTGTAAACCCACTTTTATCTGGATGGCTGAGATAGCAGAACAGATCTGAATTGTAGTCAGTCTTGCAGTGAATGCATTAGCAAGATTCGATGCGCAAATTGCATTAGTTGAGTCTTAAAGAGGGGACAGAAAAAACTTTACACAGGAGTCGATGCATATTGAATTTTGTAATTAGCAGGGTCAGCACCCGACAAGTTCACAAATTCAAGTGAACCATTTTGAGAATTTGGTCGGATCTAGATGCATTCAACCTGCTGTACATTCGCAAGGCCATGCCACGGCTACTCAGACACTTGTGTCGACTCTGCTGCCAGAGAAAGTGCCGACCATGTATCGAGGTACAAGCCCACAGCAGAAATAAGAGGAGTACCTCGGGCTCCATCAATGTAGATCCGCACAAGCTGGCTGTGCACTTTCTCAAACCTATCCAGTTTCTTGTAGCCAATTGTAGTCCCGACAGAAACAGTTTTCCAGCGCCCATCCTGCATAACGTCCACGTGGTAAAGTTGCACCCGTTGGCCCAGGTGCACAGCCTCCTGCAGCTTCACAACGTTGAAGGTTTTGTTGGACCCGAGGTCAAGTGTGAGAAAGGGGGTTGTGAGACCTTCCTCGGATGCCCAGTAAGCTTCTAAGTCGTCATTCAAGACTTGGTCGGGCCGGAATGAAGAGATGTCACCTCCTCGGGTGCTGCTTGCGCTCACACGAGCCTTGGAGGCCAGGTTTGTAGCGAAGATGCGATCGATGACAGATCTGAAGTCGCGTAGATTGGCAACATCCGTCCCGTGCAAAAGACCTGTCTGGTTTGGGGGTGCGTTGAGGAGCATCACACAGTTGCGGCCGACTGACTTGTAGTAAATATCGAGGAGCTTGTTCACCGTCTTAGGTTGCTGGCTTTCTTTCCAGAACCAACCAGGCCGGATGGAGACGTCGCACTCTGGAGGGACCCAATCTGAGCCATTCGGATCGCCCTCGTTCAGATACCTGACACGTTTTGTTTTACAAAAAATGCTTGCTTTCAGAAGAGAAAAGAGTTGAAGGTACAAAATGTTGAATTGTTACACATTAATCAGGTTGATGTACAGAGTAAATAAATCACATGATTAGAAACCTAATCCAACACTGCAGGAACGATGGCCCTTATTTCATTGCAGTCGTCACAGGAATGTGTCCTTTAAATTCTTTACCAGAGTTGCATTCTATCCCTTATTTCATTACGTAGGCTTGTTAAAGATGCAAGAGAAAGAGGAATTACTCTTCAAATGGGCCTCCAATCGTGACCATCGATCTGTTCATCATAGACCAACTGGTCGTGCCGGCCTCCCCAGCTTCATTGCCGACCCAACGAACGTCCGGCCCATCATCAGAGAAGATGTTTGCGTTGGGCTGCATTTGATGGATGAGAGCGAACCATGCGTCGAAGAGATAGTACATGTCCTTCGACGATGGATCCTTGTTCCCATCCACAAAAAACTGGGAGATAGGTCCATACCTGCGATCAAAACAATAATAAACTTGACTCATCTCCACTCCTCATACAAAAAGGAATTTGAACACAGCTTTCTTTCATAAGTAAAATAATCTTGGGTACCTTTTGAAGGATGAGATTCAAAAACACTAGATCCTAGCAAATTCAAAAGAGAAAAATGTCGATGTGCTTGTGTGATGAAGATACATGGTCAAAAGCTCCCGCAGTTGACCAAGATAGTAGTCGTTGTAGAGAAGAGTGTCACCATAAGTAGGTTCGTGACGGTCCCAGGGCGACATGTACAGACCGAACTCAAGACCCTCCTCCCTCGCTGCATCCGAAACCTCGCGCACCACATCTCCTGTGCCGTTCTTCCATGGAGAACTCTTGACGGAGTAGTTTGTGTATGCTGAGGGCCACAGACAAAACCCATCCGCATGTTTTGCTGTGAGAATTACGACCTTAAACCCTGCATTCTTCGCCTCTCGCACCCACTGCCTAGCATCCTGAGAGCAGAACAAAATATAACCCCCAAAAATAAACTCAGTATTGGACGAGAGCAAGATTATTAAAAGATTATACGAACTTTAATCGAAAAAAGATGAGCAAGGCGAGTATCACCATCATCATCATCATCAATCAGTGACGGTGTAGACAGGACGGCAAAGTGTTGGCTATCGATTTTGAACTTCGATAAACCAATAAAAAGCTCTTGTTTTGGTTCCGGAGAGGATTGAATGCCGCAGTCTGGATCTTAATCAGACACGCAAGGAATCTAGACCAAAGAAATTGAGGGGCTAAATTTGTATTTAACAAACAACCGATACATATGCACATCTACTACCAAATGGCGCTGCTCATGTCAAGGCAAGGCTTAGGGTAATGACAATACCAGGCCTTCGGGATTGAAGATGGAGGGATCCTCTGTTCCATCACCTTGCTCTTTACCTGTAAACGTGTTGACACCGAAATGGAAGAACATGATCTGCTCCTGCCGCTGGAATCTGAGCTGCCGGTACGACGGCAATGGCATGATGGGCAGTGGGGGTGGAAGAGGCGAGGTGAAGCTTACAACTACAACGGCTGTCGCTGACATCAACAAGAGAGCCAACAGCCCCGAGCGGCCACACAGACTCAACGAATCCCTCTCCATTGTTGCACTCCAACTTAACCTGAAATAATCCTCAATCCCTCGCGACCCTTACGAGTGTTCGCATTTCCAAGACTCTTGAACACTAACGTCAGTTGAATTCGGACATTCCCAGGACAGCAACCCACTCACACGCTGCAACCCAATTCCAATTCTCCCGCACATAGCAATGTACTCCAATCGCAGCAAACTCCGGGCAGAGATCCCTTCGCCTTGTGGATTTCTACCCCTTTTTTGTTTGCTTCAATTCTCGTCACTGACCCGAGGCATTGCTCATCAGTCACGCATCCAGAATGTCAGATTCTGCAATACTCCATCCAAGCCCTGAAAAAAAGTGTAGCAGAGTTGTGAAGCATTTTGTGGACAAGCCCATTCTCGACAAATTGCGTGGGATTGTGATGGAAAAAACATCAGCTGGTATCAGAAAGCAGAAAACCACAAACAACGAAAGAGAATGAGAGAGCTTCGGCCCGCTTCACAATCCCATGGACGGAGATGCCATGTGTTTGCTAAATTAGAGCATCTCCAACTCGGGGCTATTCCGAGGTCTATTCTATATAGACCCGCCACGGAGTTCCCCAACGCAGTTCTAAAAGCTATCTATTCGATAGACCGTTCTATTTTTGAAGGAAATAGACCGCTGGCTATTCGAAGGTCTACGAAGTTGCTTGAGTGTCGGGGCTGGGGTTCAATTCTCGTAGGGGTAGAACAGAGTAGCTTTTTTTTTTTGTGAACTGTAGTTTGATACCTCGATATTGCTCTTCCTGTCTGCATTGCTGCATCGATAAACGCCATGGGACGCGGGAAGAGCTGGAGCTCCGACGAGGACATGTTCCTTGCCCGCTCAGTGGTCCATGTGAGTCATGATCCTATAGTAGGTGCCGACCAAAAGAGTTCCAAATTCTACTACCGTGTGTTGCAGCAGTTCCAGGTCTTCGTTCCTGATTCCAATCGAACCTCTGATGCACTGTGCAACCGCTGGGAAGAAATTCAATCGTCTTGCTCGAAATTTGCGGGATATTTCGCCATGTCACTGGCGGATCCAAAATCGGGACAGCAGGAAGACCATTACATTGAAGAGGCCCTTGAAATTTATGTCAAGATTGAGAAATCTTTAAATTCCGCCAGATTTGGGAATACCTCTGAGAGCACGTTCCAAAGTTTGAACATGGTCTGACTCCCAAGGCTAATCATTCCAAACGCATGCGGCCAGACGAAGATGTTGTAGATTTATCTTCAGATGAGGGTCAACCTACCCCATTGAAGCGTCCTATGGGAACCAAAAAGGCTAAAGAGATCATTCGAAAAAACGTGGATGAAGATGACGAGTTAGCTAGTATTCAGCGCTCTTACGTGGTTAAAAACCAATGCACTTTCCTCAACCTATTTATCCTACCAAAAAGATGATCCGTCAGCCAGCAAATTCCAAAGGTTATGACCATTTGAATTCTTAACCATTTATTCCACTAATAACCTACTGTTACCAACTAAACTGCCTAACCATCAGTCTAATTCTCAAGATTGTCAATAACCAACCAGTAACTTACCACAAAGTTTATTTACCTATTCTACATAGCCTCACTCCTAATTGTGCAGCGTCCTCGCAAACATTATTTAGCCTCAACTTATAAAGACATAGCAGCATTGGCTTCTTTAGTCAATGGTGTTGGCTTACCACCCTTTGAATTGGTGACCTTCTGCTCTTTACATCTTCGTCGTCTGCCTCGGTGTTCGATGGTTCTCCATCCAAACGCGCCGTCAGATCTTCATTCAACAAACCCAATTCCCGTCCTTGAGACTCAAGTCGGGCAATTTGGTTGTCACATTCCTCCAACATCTTCTGCCATTCTTTTGTCAATTTCAAAGGTATCTCCGAAGGTGTTGTCACTGAAACTAGAGTATTGGTCCACACTAAATTATTGGCCTCCTTTGCTAATGTGGCTAATTTAGTCTGCAACATCGCAACCTCTGCCTGCAGCCATTCTTGCTGTTCTTTCCAATCGGTCTCCAACCTTGCTTTCTCAGACACCATGTTCGCCATCTTCTCCTTAACCACAAAAGAAAACACGATGCTTGTCAAGAGCCCCCCATCTACTTCTTACTATGGTCCAATCAATTGGGTCGACTCCTGCTTTTGTAACAGAAAATCGATCCCGGGTTTATGGATAGTAAAGTTTAAGCTGATTACCATTGATCCATGTTGTAAATTTAGTACCCATAAAATCTTCCAATTACACTAAACCATATGGAAATCCATCAATAACTCGATATGGCCCATGCCATCGAACTTGAAATTTTCTTGGAAAATTTTTAAATCGACTATCATAAAGAAGTACCAAATCATTTGGCATAAAAGCCTTTGGTCTAAGCTTACTATCATAATAAGTCTTCCTTTGTTTTTTGTAGTTTCCATTATCATTAATGCATTGGCTCTAGTTTCATCCAATTTTTTCAATTCTTCTAAATGGTGCCGTAATAAATCCTGATCTCTCAATCTAGTATTTATAGCAATTCGTAAACTTTGGACTTCTAATTCAATAGGTAAAATTGCTTCCTGGCCATAAACCAATTGGAAAGGACTAGCATTGGTAGTAACTTTATACACAATACGGTATGCCCATAAAGCTACAAACAACTTAGTATCCCAATCTGTTCCCGCTCTTGAAACTATTTTTGTTAAGATTTTACATAAAATTCTATTAATCTTTTTTGTTTGTCCATTTGCTCTAGGGTGATACGGTGTAGTCTTACAATGTTTTATCTTGTATTTAGCCATGAGTGCTTCGATTGTACTATTTATAAAATAAGTTCCTCGATCACTAACCAATTCTCGTGGACAACCGAACCGTGTAATAATATTTTCATACAAAAAGGTTGCTACTGTACTTGCACTATCGGTTTTCATAGCTACTACTTCAGCACATTTTGTTACGTAATCCGTTGCTACGAGTATATACTATTTTTGTCCATTTCTCAAGGCTGGTACAATTGGTCCCACAAAATCAATTCTCCATTTTTCAAAAGGCGCTTGAGCCAAAATTGGTATCAATGGCATTGCTGAAGTTCCAATAGGTCAACCCGTTCTCTAACATGGATCACAATGACGGACGAATTGGTAGGCATCTGCAAACAATGTTGGCCACCAATAACCAGTCTATAAAGCTTTATGAGCCGTGTTGTTCCCTATCCACTATAATTGTCCAAGTGGCAACCTTCCAATATAGTACGCACTTTAGTCTGATAAATACAGCGTCGCAAAACTCCATCCTTGCCTTGTTTATATAAAGCTTCACCAATCATCGTATAAGGTGCACATTTTAATATTAAGTGTCGTTTAAGCTTTTCATTAAAATTAGGTGGAAAGTTTTGAAATGTCAAGTATTGAATTATTTCACTATACTCCAGAGTAATTACATCTACCGCAAACAGTTCTACATCAGATAGTGCATCGTTAATGGGTTCATTACCCAATATATTGGATAATCGAGATAAATGGTCCGCATTGGAATGTGATTTTTCTAGTCTTACTTGAATAGTAAAGTCAAATTTCTGCAAGAGTAGAATCCATCGTGCAATACGACCACTCGATTGAGGCTTATTAATCATATATTTTAAAGCATCATGGTTGACATGGAAAACAAATTTATAACCAAGAAGATAATGTCGAAACTTTTGTACAGAATAAATCATCCCTAATACTTCTCTTTTGGTTGTTGTATAATTTCTTTCAGTTACTATTAATTGACGACTTGTATAATAAATAGGGTGATCAAAATCCTGGTCATCTTTTTGGCTTAGCATAGAACCAATCGCGACATTAGATGCATCCATATAAACTTATAATGGTTTTGTTCAATAAGGTGCCACCAATATTGATTCTGAAACCAATTTCTGTTTCAATGTTTTGAATGCAATTGTACATTGCTTTGTCCAAAATGGACTCGTCCCATCGGTTGGTGGTTTCTTCAAGAGATTTGTCAAGGAAAGGCATATAACTGCGAATAGATAGATAAATTGTAGATTATAACTGACATGGCCGACAAATGCTCGAACACCCGTAATAGTGTCTGGTTGCTTTAATTCTATTATAATCTTTATTTTATCCGGATCTATAGCAATGCCTGCCATCGAAACTATATGACCCAATAGTTTACCAGAAAGTTCACTAAATTGGTATTTTTTCGACTTTAAAGAAATTCCATATTTGGCACATTGATTCAAACATTGACCTAAACATTCTAAATGCCTAACTCTAGTACTAAATTTACAAAAAACATCTAAAAATATTTCTATTAAAATTCGTATATAATCTTGGAATACTTGCATCATTACCCTTTGAAATGTATCTGGTGCATTACAAAGCCCAAACGGCATAACCTTATAGGCAAAGGTCTCCCTATCCGTAGTAAAAGTAGTTTTTAACTTGTCTTCTTTTGCAATTTTTACTTGATTATAACCGGAGAATCCATCAAGAAATGAATAACATTCATGTCCAGCAACGGCATCCAATATACTATTCGTGAATGGTAAAGGAAAATAATCCTTCTTGGTAGCCGCATTTAATTTTTGGAAATCTTGACAGATGCGAATTTTTCTATTCTTTTTTGGTACCATAACAATCAATGAAATCCATTCATTGAAAAGAACCAGATATATAAATCCAACCTCCAAGAGTTTATCATGTTCTTCTTTTACCATAAGTGAGTATTTTAGATTAAGTCAATGTTGTCTTTGACGTACTGGTGTAGAGTTTTCCTCTAATATAATTCGATGCTCACAAACTTTAGCTGGAATTCCTTTCAAATTGGTATACGACCATGCAAAAGTACTTTTATGCATTAAAAAGTAATCCATCCAAATTTCTTTCTCCTTGTCTTTTATACCGTCATAAATTTGAATGATTTGGAGAGCCTCCCTTCTACCTAAATTAATTGGTTGACATCGTGGAATTTCAGAAGTCCCTGAACTGATGTTCTACTCAATTCCAAAATCTTTCATAAAATCCGACACATTAGAACTTTCCAACTCCAGTTCCATAGCACTAATGTGATTAACATCCCGTCTATTCATCTAATATGCAATCATATGATCAAAATCATCAATACCATCTAGAGGAACTAACTACTCTCCCAATCTCCTGCACTGGTAGGTCATTCTAGTGTGCTTGACAATTTACCTTGTATCAGCATAAATTGGGTCAAGTGCACCAATTTCTTCTTTGGTAGACTCATTTTCACAATCCAACATGAATTCTGAACTGACAACTTGAGTTTCTCTATGATATTGGACAAGGTACATTTGAAGCACAATTTTATCATTATCTTTCCCAATTATCAATGTACCTCGGCCCCAATCATTTCGAGCTTTAGCTTGATATAACCACGGCTTCCCAAATAAAATTGGGTATGACAATATAGAGCTTCGCAATCGAAAAACAATATAATCAATTTTGTAGGTAATCCCCACAATTATTGTATCAATACTTCGTAAAATACCCATAGATTTAATTCGATTGGAGTCAGTTATTCTCAAAATTGAAAATTCGTAGAGCTACTAGAACTGAATTTGACGAAGCTTGTAAAATTGGTTCTTTCAACGAGTAAGATTGCTTCCTTGGAATTCACACCTCTTAGAGGATCTTTCA